TATTTTAGTTTTGAGTCTTTTAGATTTTTAGAGTTAGTTTTTCTTTAGTTTTTCGTTGAGTTGTTTAGTACCTTGAGACTTGCTAAGTCGTAAAAGAATAAAGATATTAGTATTAACAGTGTCTGGGACACTATAAAGAAACATTTGTTATAACGTTCTGGTGCCTTTGTGTGTTAATAAAACGTTCGATTTATCTTTTGTTAATGATTACGACCCTTTACTAAATTGGCCGAACAGATACAAGACTCTCCCTTGGTCGTAACACCATCCATCATAATACATTCTTTTCTTTTTTTTTTTTTTTTTTTTCTAATGATATATTAAATTATTTATCATACGTTGCGTTGCGACACATTGACTTAATGTCCATGCATTCTTGAGCTTGACTGATTTATGCCTGTAGGCCATTTTAATATTTAAGATTCAATGAAATCAGCGTAGTATTTAGCAAAGTATGCTCGCTACTGCTTTCCCTCCAAACGGACCAAATACATTTGGGTCGGTCTTCGAGACTATATCGGCTATTTCTGAGAATTTTATCAAAATTCTAATGCTTTGAGAAATTTGTCTTGCCAAAAGAAAATTTGCGTGTTTCCTTTCTCAGATTTTCAAGGATACTTCTATCTTGTACTTAAGCATTTGAATTAATGTACCGACTATGTACTCAGATCGTGTTTCGATAGAATAGTGTTGACTCATAGTTCCGTTAGGAATAATTTGATTTAAAGATTGGACATTGCACTTGTTTCTGGGCGCTTGTTGGGATCGCTACCCCAGCATTTTTTGTAACGTTCAATTTATCGAGGTAGTGTTACCTTCAGCAGGTTCGTCTCTGTTCCCTTCAGAAAGATGGTTATGGAGCTTTACCACCTCATTTGTCTGCCTTAACAATGCGTAATTTATCTGTCCATTGTCATCTCCCTCGCTACTTCGCAAAATGGAATGATGTTATGATGATTAGAAATGCTTCGAAATAGTCTAAGTCTATTAATAAAATCTTTAACACTTCTTTCGCCGATGCTATATCGCGAATTGTTGTCTGTCACATCTGAGTAAGCAATTGTTGGTGTAAGGCCTAATTGCGTTTCCATGGGTTTATCTTCATTCTCATTGCCGCCGCCTCTATTAAGTTAGCGATTACTACTTGTGGAAAGTCATTCAAATCATACTCACCTCCTTTGATCATCCGGAGCTGGACTTATTCCGGTTGATGGTTTCACGAGGTGCATCACCATGCTTAGCATCTTTTCGATCTGTTGACTTACGTCAACTTAAACTAAATACTTTGATTTTGATATTTTTGTAACTTTACCAATTAATAAAGGTTTTTATAATAAATCTGAAAAACTATCTTAATAAATAAATAATATAAATCAAACTTTCTCGATATACAATTTATTATTATTAATAGGAATACAATAAATCGCTATCAATATTATTGATATGGAACTCTTTGCTTGGTTTAAGATCTTGATTACTCTTATAATTTCTGCACTTTGAAACAATTCCTCTAGTATCAATAAGTTTAGATGTATACTTAAAATTTTCATGATTTTGCGAAGTAATCGGTAATTCTTTGATTGAGTTATCGGCTCTTAAAAATTGCTGTTTGATCTCTTCATTTGAATCAATATATTGTTTGTCTAAATTAACATTACTATTATTGACGAATGTAGGTTTTTTCCATTTTTTAAGTTTATTAAAAATCCCAACAGGCTTAGTCTTTTTTTTCATATTTAACCTGACATTATTATCATTAGCGACCATAATGCTTTTCCATTTTTCAAATTCATTAATAATCTCAACAGCATAGGGTCTTTTACTCATATCAGAATCAACGCATCGTTTGGCTAATTCAACATAACATTTTGGAGCACCTATATTAAATTCAGGTCGCAAACCATTACAAATCTTTATTGCTAATTCAGCATCAAAATTGTAACCACTAAAAGGCCTTTGACCAGTTGATATTTCTATCATAATAATGCCAAAACTGTAAATATCAGCTGCTTGAGTGAATCGCTCACCATTCAAAACCTCAGGTGCTAAATATGGCAAAACTCCATAAATATGGCCTTCTTGCTTTTCATCAAACGGTATCGATAAACCTAAATCTGTAATATAAGCTTCATATTGTTCTTTTAATAAAATATTCCCTGAATGTAAATCTCGATGCATAAATTTCTTTGAATGAATACGCGATAGGTCATAAACGATATCACTTAATATTTTTAATTTAATTTTCCACTCCGACTTAAATATTTCTTTAATATTTTCACGTAATGATCCATATTTTGCGTAACTTGTCACTAAAATAAAATCCCCGGTGTTCTTATCCATTGATATGCCAAATAATCCCCAAACTCATGATACGCCTTTAACTAAAAATAGTCAATTTATATACAATTAATTTATAAACAATGACATAAATTTATGTGTAAAAAAAATAAATACCTCATTTAAAAGGATTTACTAATTTCCCCCGCCACTTCTGATTGGCTGTACTAATTATTCAATTATTGGAGTATTTATATTAGTAATC